AACCATTTCAGTACAATTAGACATATTCCCTCCCACATACGCAAACATACTACTTCCTCCCCTTTGTTTACCGGCTGTAAGCTCCGGTAAAAAGTGCTGGCTGTTCGTCTATTTGGACTCTGGCTTTTTTGCCAGTGTCTGATTTTTGCTCATTGGAGAGGGAATGGGTCTATTCTTGTTTTCTCCCACCACAGGGCCCAGGAATCCACATGGGAATGACACAAATAATAGCGGGTATATAGGCCAGCCTTACATTCTGCCCATTCAAATACCTATCTTTTACTCTGCAATGGTATTTTATAGGTGAATCATGTTATGTCCGCATAACAGTTTACATATAAAGTGTCAAGTACGTAAAACGTATGGATGGTATATACAAATACATAATGCTTGCATACACACATAAACACATATCCATGCATATACATACAACAGATGCATTCATAGATCACACACACAAACACAGTATCATTCACATACATACATATACTCACATTAGCACATATAAACACATATGTACAGACTAAAATAAACTCCCACTCATACAGGTAAATACACTTTTCTTCTTACACATACATACCAAGTCCGATACTCTTAATTACCCTCACTTACATACATACTCATCCAATCATATACACACATTCATGCACTCGTACAGAAACACATAAAAGCTCACACATGCATTTCCTACACATACATATACTAATACATAGTGCACAAAAACTTATACATATACATACATACATACATACACACAGAGATACATGATCAAACACATATGCTTTTACTTACACAAATACAGACATACCCATACATACACACAGACAGAGATACATGATCAAACACATATGCTTTTACTTACACAAATACAGACATACCCATACATACACACAGACAGAGATACATGATCAAACACATATGCTTTTACTTACACAAATACAGACATACCCATACATACACACAGACAGAGATACATGATCAAACACATATGCTTTTACTTACACAAATACAGACATACCCATACATACACACAGACAGAGATACATGATCAAACACATATGCTTTTACTTACACAAATACAGACATACCCATACATACACACAGAGATACATGATCAGACACATATGCTTTTACTAACACAAATACAGACATACCCATACATACACAAACATCCTTACATACACATACCAGTATATGCAGCCACATTAAAAAAATGCCTAGATATTCAGTTCAAGCTGACAGATTTCTGACAGAAATAAAACCTAGTGCCAAACTTGATGTAATGAAACATTACAGCACATCAAATCAGTTCTGACATCATGACAAACAGCTTTCACATGTAATATCTAACAAGAATATCTGACGTTAAGTGGCAAGGCAAGACCATAAACACTGGGGTATTCGAACGAGTAAACATTCGTTAGTTGGTGTCTCTACAAAATAGAAGACAAAGTGCTTTGATAAAGAATCACTAAAGTAAAGGTTATGGAAACAGTTAAAATCACAAGGCAAGGATAGTGAATAGGACAAATATTGAGATATTGGCATAACCTGTATGCCTTTTTTTTTAAGGTTCACTTCAAAAGTGTGAAGGGTAAGGGCCGACAGAGGGGTAAGAAGAAAGTGATGTGAATAACAAGCCGAGGACTTGGAGGGACTCGGGCAGATATATGGCACAAAACGGGACGCTTAAAGGGAGCTGGTTGAGGACATGTCTCGGGGTAGAGATACTCAATAACTGTGAAATCACAGGACAAATGTACCTTTGCGATCTGGCTTTGTACACTTCTTTACAAGCCTAATGGAGTCCTTGGCAAAAGTCTTGGCGGGTTCAACAAACTGCAGCACTTGGTCCATATCAGAAGCTGCAGATAAATAATCTCACATGAGTTACAGACCTAGTGTCCACAACAATCTATAGCATGCATTAAAGATGAAGATGTACAACACTTCTACTTACTAAATCACTCATATCTATGGTCTATAGACAGCCTAGTTGGCTATCCTCCAAACAACGGTCCTAAATTATAGAGGTGGAAAATATACCCTAACAGGGCCTCAGTCGTGTATCACTTGCGAACTTCTGGGGACTACGTCGCCACCGCCGAGAGTATCCCCATGCCGCTTATGCAGTGTGGATTGGGGCTAAACTAGATGGCTAGGACTCACGAGCAAATAAAATGAAGGAAGCTGCAGGAGATGCAGTAGCTGCTGCTTGTGAGTCCCAGACATCTAGTTTAGCCCCAATCTACGCCGCCCAGAAGTGCACAATTTATGATGACAGAAGTGCGCAAGTAACACGTGATTGAGGCCCTGTTAGGGTATATTTTCCGCCTCGATAATTTAGGACCGTTATTCGGAGGATAGCCGCCTAGTTATCTAATTACTTCAGTTCAACAGTTGTCAGTGTGAATCTTCGCTGATTTTGTGATTGTTTTTTTTTTTCAACTAACTAAACTTGAGCTCTCAGGACCACTTAGCCTAAACTGAGTAGTGTAGCTGTAGCAAGAAATGTCCTTAGTGAAGTTTAAAAGTTAGTCTAGGGTAGTAAAAAAAAAGTTGATGATAGCATGATTGACAGTGATCACATTTCATTCACCCATATCACCATCTGTCAGTCTAGTGTATATATAGACTCTACTCTCTATATAAAAATATGGGGGACGGCAATGACCAAAGCTTTTTACACAACAAAGTGACCAATAATATGACTATGAAACTAGAAAACTGAGGGGAAAATAAAGACTTTCATGGACTTTCACTATTTTATATTTTTAGTGTATAAAGCAGTACAATTTTTGGACTGGCGTCTTTACAAGCAACAAATATATCTAGCTGACACAAGTCCGTTTAGCTTCTTGATGAACTGTGTATTAAAGACTAAACGGTTGCTGGTCTCTCAACTCAATGTAGTTAACGCCACGTCATCTAAGAACAAGGCTACAGCTGACCTTTTACTTTTATTACAACATTGTTGAACATAAAATGAAATTATCCTATAGACGCATTTACTCTTGCTTGTAATAATTTTCGATTTAAAATACCCGTACAAATATATGTGCATGTATTACCTAGATATTTGTGGTACGGCGATAGCACAGACTGAGTGATCAAATCCCAAATAAAAGTACAAGAGATGATCGTCAAAAGCTCTGCTTTGGTTCAATTCAAGAAGTTTCTCTGCTGGCCGGAAGTAGATCAGATGACAGAAACTGTTTCTAGTCATGAAGAGCTCTCCACCCGGTCTCTTTTCTGCCCAGCGTTCACAATGACTTTACTAATACTCTTCGACATCTGATATGAATGAAATTGATGTTATTCAGATTATTATCTATTTCACTGCTGTTTTCTGCATACAACGGTTTCCATATTTTTACCATCACTATCTCCTTCTTCTTCTTCTTCTTCTTCTTCTTCTTCTTCTTCTTCTTCTTCTTCTTCTTCTTCTTCTTCTTCTTCTTCTTCGCGTTCACTGGCTGTCTACTCAGGTCTAAAGTTCTGATTGTTAGTCTAACTGGACTTTAGTCTTGTTCCATACCTAGAGTTTGCATGCACATCCGTTTGATAGATCTTTGTTTATTTGTATATAGTTGATAGTTGCTGGTTCCTCTCTACTCGGACAGACGCACTCCGACTTCGAAGTAAACATATCTGATTTGTATCCTTTACGACAGGCAAAAAGTCTATTCTAAATCTCTCCATGATGGGAGCTCGAAATCCGCACTGGGGTATATTAATAACAAATTGGCCCTGTTCTGTTGATTAGGTATATTTTGCATTTCTCCTTAACAAGGTGGTTGGCAAGTTGTGCTGTGGTTTACAACTAAGCTGTGATATATGTACCTTTTGATCCAACACATCCATTGTATAAAACGTTTTGCATACCAATAGAACAGAATGGAGAGCAAGACCTAAATTGCGCATAATGGCATCCATTCAATTCCATGATTAATGTCAATAAGATCGCAAACCTGTCGGATAGCGTCCTCGGCAAGACTCATCCTCGATTGTCCCTTTTTTACAAGTCAGGGACGGCACTAGCTGAAGATACCATCGGGCTGGTGGCCTCAGTCAAGCAAATACACAGGGGGCAGGAATGGATCAACACGAACACCCACAACAGCAGTTGCCATCGGGTCATTGTCACGTTATTAAGATAATGTAGAAAGTGGTGTAAAGGTATCGCAGAATTGGAGGTACAGCAACCACAAGATTAAAACGCTGGGCTAGATAATGCAATAGTGTACACCGATTGGTTCTTTTCATTGGGGTGTAGGCTTACGATCTGGCTGGGAATTATCAGCATGGGAATGGAGGTGGAGGCAGTCACTGCAGCTCTGATGTGGATAACAAAAAACAAAACAAAGTTACGCAAGGATTAATTATTTCGGATTCTCAGTCGGTTCAAAATGCATTTAACCTTTGAATACAAAAGTTATAGACGGGTTCTAAGACTATCATGGGTGAAGAAGAAAAAACAACCCCCAATGCAATCATACTTCAAGAACTGAATCTTAAAGAAGGTTGGCTATTAAAGACGATAAAACACATAACATTTAAATATTTTGGACACTTGTATGTCATGAAAGTTTAGAGAGAACAATAATGGAGGGGCATATGCCTGGGAAGAGAGGAAGAGGAAGGCCAAAGATAAGATGGGTGCAGAATGTGGATGATCTCTAGATAGACGTATCGGACGCGGGACATCTTGCATGTGATCGAGATGTTTTCCGGAAGGTTGTTATGGAAGCAACTTTCTGCAAAGGACAAGCTACTGACTGACAGATATCAAATGGGAGAGAGTTTGCCGCAACACCGGATTCCTGTGTGGGGGAGTAGCGTCCCCTGGACTGACTTCTGCGCAAAGAATTCTCCGCGGCCCAGAGCCTGGAGCTGTCTCCACCTTTCTCGGCATATGCAGTTTCTCATCATCTACAGCAAGTATTCAGATTACCGTACAAATTGTCAGTTCCTACCTCTCAGACACACCTCTTCCAGCAATGACAGACTCTAGTCTGGACGATTTCTTCGCCAAGAAGGATAAGACGAAGAAGAAAACGAAAGTGAAGCCAGGAGCTGTGGGCGACGTAGAAGTAGATGGATCGACAACAACAAAGCCGTCAGGAAAGAAGGATAAGAACAAGAAAGACAAGGATAAACAAAATTCTTCTAGCGGCACATTAAGTATAGGATTAAACACCCAGGTAGGATATGCTCAGAGAATATTTATTTTGCGGTAAAGAATAGATCAACAAAGTTAGGAGAATCATTACAAACATTGGCTCTCCTTTGAACTTCCTCCCCATAATATGGTGGCTAAACTAGTGACTTTAGTCAAATTTTTAAAATGCCCTCTACACCAATAAAACCAGCACAGATAGCTGTAAACAATCTCTTTCCAATGGTACCTCATTTAGGCTTGTATGTCATTTCTGAGCTCCCCCGTGTGGGTTCCGGGGCCCCATTGTGGGGAAAACAAGAATAGACCCACTGCCTCCCCAAAAGCATGTCGTAAGAGTCGACTAATTGGGAAGCTTCCTTTGAAGTCGGAGTGCATCTGCCGGAGAGGCAAGGAACCAACAGTCTGTATTCAAGAGAATGAGATCTGTAAAACTGATGCACACGCAACACTCAGGTTCTGGAGCAGGACTGCAGTTCAGTAGTGGACGAGCAACCAGAACCTTCCGCCAGAGTTTACAGCTGGTGAACGTGAAGAAGAAGAAGAAGATTTCTGAGCTGAGATATGTAGGTTTTTGTGGAGATGAGATGTAAAAAACAGCTCTTGAAAACTTGCGTCTTAGAAACAAGAAGTTTTCTCTGCGCAACCAAACTGCGCACTTATCGTTTTGGCTTTGTTTGCATTGGGCAAGATGGCAGACAATTTTTCTCAGACACAGCCACATAATAGCGATTGCCTGAAAAATGTCACTGTAAATCGAAATAGCCACAGATAAGAAAGAAATTTTATACAAAAATGTAAAATTGGACGGAGAATTCAATTATAACTAGCATTACCATGTCTGGTAATATTTAAGGCCTAAAGCCAACCTTGAATACTTAGAGCTATTTTCAATCAAACTGATGTAACAGAAAAACAGAGGACGTCCGGCTGTCGTAGACATGCGCTGTTAATCGGGTTAGTTCCCGCCGTTTTCAGCTATTTATAGCTGGTGAAAATCACACCAATTGCAAAATTTCATGAGAGATTAGGACCCATCCTGAAACCCCAGCTGACATTTCCCAAACAAGTTTCGAACGGTTTCCTTGGTAACGGAAATTGCCAAAAGAACGCAAATTTCCGAACACCGTAGTCGCTAGCCAAACAAATACCCTAACAAGGCTTCGGTCATATGCAAATTGCGGAGTGCTTGCCGCGGAACAAATCGCGGTAAAACTAGGATGGCCTTCAAATAACGGGTTAATATTATCGAGGGCAAACAAATACTCTAACAGGATCTCAGCGATATGTTAATTGCAGACCTGTTTCTGCGACCATGCCGCACTAGATTGCTGGGACTCGCTAGCAAATAAATTGGAGGAAGTTGCAGGAGATATGGTAGCTGCTACTCGTGAGTCACAGCCATCTAGTTTAGTCTCCCATCCGTGCCGCACGGGATATACGCTCGGCGGTGAGTTTAATTGGAAGAACACTATCGCTGACCAGCGTCGGAGTGCGTGGTCGCCCCGCCATTTAGCTATTATCGAAACTGTCAATGGACAGTGATCCTAGTTTTGCGAGGATGTGTTTGTAGAAGGAAGTCCGCATTTTACACACGACTGAGGCCCTGTTAGGGTATTTGTTTGGCCGCCATAATATGGGGATGATGTTTGAAGGAGGGCCAAACATTTTTTTCTACCATAAATGATAATTGAATATTATTAAAAAGTACTAGTAGTACTACACTGCAAACATCTTTATCTGTCTAGAGATGTGCTTTACACTGCATCAATGCTACAGCAGCTTTTCATGAAACTGCTATCTGAAGAAAAGATTAAATGAATATTTTGAAATGCCAAAATATGTTGAGTAATCTGTATAGATGAGTAGTCAACATTTATGGCTTAGACATTGTGAAAACACTTAGTATTTCCAGATTTGTGGGTTTGGTCCTCGCTGTGAGCAGTTTGCAACAGGCTACTTAGCATCGATTTCGACAGTGGTGTAGAGAGCTGACCTGTTCAGAAAGCAATGGCAAACTGATGAATGTAAAATTACCTAGTAAAATCCCAAACAGCCAGAAAAGGCTGCGTTGGTTCTGCAATATCTTGTATAGTACGCACAGATAACTTTGATACACAGATGTTTAGCTGTTTTACCTGAGGTAATCTTTTCTCCAAGTGATGAGAATAGGGGTGGAGCTAGGAAGTGAAGGCAAAGCATTCATTGAACACAGCCCAGGACTAGTAAGCTCAGTTAAGGGCACAGAAAACACCAGAAACAGCTGAATGTTTTGATTGAAGTCTCTGTCACTGCACACCACAACAAGACAAATAATCCTAGACACCAGCATCCACACTGGAAAGCCACATAAATTTTGTGTTCAGTGAATTTAAAAACGTTCTCAAAACAATATTGTTTATTTTTTTAGAATCACACAGAACTCTTTTGCATGTTTTGTTTTGTTTTGTTTTGTTCTTTTAAATGATTCATTTACCTAATATGTCTTGAAACTTCCCAGCCATTTCAGTAGTCGAGCAGGAGGTTTCAGTAAGTCAAGCAGGAGGATCCAGTAAGTCAGGCAAGAGGTTTCAGTAATTCAAGCAAAAGGTTTGAGTAAGTCAGGCAAGAGGTTCCAGTAAGTCAGGCAAGAGGTTCCAGTAAGTCAGGCAAGAGGTTTCAGTAAGTCAGGCAAGAGGTCTCAGTAAGTCAGGCAAGAGGTTTCCGTAAGTCACGCAAGAGGTTTCAGTAAGTCACGCAAGAGGTTTCAGTAAGTCAAGCAAGAGTTTCAGTAAGTCACGCAAGAGGTTTCCATAAGTCACGCAAAAGGTTTCTGTAAGTCACGCAAGAGGTTTCCGTAAGTCATGCAAGAGGTTTCAGTAAGTCACGCAAGAGGTTTCAGTAAGTCAGGCAAGAGGTTTCAGTAAGTCACGCAAGAGGTTTCCGTAAGTCACGCAAGAGAATTCAGTAAGTCGCGCAAGAGGTTTCAGTAAGTCACAGAAGAGGTTTCGGTAAGTTATGCAAGAGATTTCAGTAAGTCAGGCAAGAGGTTTCCGTAAGTCAGGCAAGAGGTTTCCGTAGGTCAGGCAAGAGGTTTAAGTAAGTCAGGCAAGAGGTTTCAGTAGTAAGGCAGAAGATTTGTGTATGTCAGGCAGGAGGTTTCAGTATGTCAGGCAAGAGGTTTCTGTATGTCAGGCAGGAGGTTTCAGTATGTCAGGCAAGAGGTTTCTGTATGTCAGGCAGGAGGTTTCAGTATGTCAGGCAAGAGGTTTCATTTGTCAGGCAAGAGATTTAAGTAAGTCAGGCAGGAGGTTTCAGTAGGGAAGCAAGAGGTTTCAGTTGTCAGGCAGGAGGTTTCAGTAGTCAGGCAGGAGGTTTCAGTTGTCAGGCAGGAGGTTTCAGTAGTGAAGCAAGAGATTAATCTTACAGCCCATCAGCAACTCCAGAGGGTAACCCAGCCTCGTTTATTTCAGGAGGATGAAGAATGGAAAGATTTTGAGGAGGAGAAAAAAGTTGACTACACAGGCCTTCGTATACAGACTCTTCAGATATCGTAAGTGAACTTCTGTTTCTGTATTATAGGATGCAGACCTGTGTGTGTGTGTTCGTTGTTCTTTTGCAGACTCTTCCGATATTGTGAGTGAGACTTTTTTAAAATCTTCCTTATATATATATATATATATATATATATATATATATATATATATATATATATATATATATATATATATATATATGTGTGTTTCTTATTCTTTTCCTTTATGTAGATGCCAGACTTCAGAAGCTTTTTAGTGCCCGTATGAGTTCATGTACCCCATTTTTTTTTTTTTGAAGGGGGGGGGGGGGTGAGTATAGATCAGCTGTCTTGTTAACAAGCGTGTCATAAAAGGTGACTGGTACTAGGACATGAACTGCAACTCCCCACACAACATTCCTGGTACAAGGACAGGAACTGCAACTCCCCACACAGCATTCCTAGTACAAGGACATAAACTGCAACTCCCCGCACAACATTCCTGGTACAAGGACATGAACTGCAACTCCCCACACAACATTGCTGGTACAAGGACAGGAACTGCAACTCCCCACACAGCATTGCTGGTACAAGGACAGGAACTGCAACTCCCCACACAGCATTGCTGGTACAAGGACAGAAACTGCAACTCCCCACACAACATTCCTGGTACAAGGACAGGAACTGCAACTCACCACACAGCATTCCTGGTACAAGGACAGAAACTGCAACTCCCCACACAACATTCCTGGTACAAGGACATGAACTGCAACTCCCCACACAACATTGCTGGTGCAAGGACAGGAACTGTCCCCCCCCCCCCATCCCCCCCACCTTCAGGTGTATTTTGAATATAGGGCAGGACCTATATTTTATAGACCACTGAGTGGGTGATGTTGTTAACCTCACTCCGGCTGCTTTGACTTCCCAGGATTTTACCTGGTACCCAATTTAAGGTTAGGTTGACCTGAGAGCCGAGGTTATTTTTTGGAAAAGTCTGGCTCCATCATAAGCTGAAACCATGATCTTTGGATCCACAGGCAAGTGCTTAGCTGCTACATTGTGGTGGCTCCCCAGGGGTATTATAATAGTTCTCATTTGTTATTAATATGATTAAAGATTGAGTGTACAAGATTGCATTGATGATATTATTGTCCTATTTCAGGAAAGAGGAACAAGATCGAGAAGCTGCCGAAGCTGCTGATAATGGTAATGATGAAGATGACAACAAGGAGAGGAGAGATGGCGCTTCTGGTCCATGGAATAAAGCGAGCACCCCTACCGCACCAGGTAGATGTCATGTTGATTATCTGTTGAGATGTGTACCATGTGATCTTGCTACCATTCCTTTTCTGGAGTGTACACTGTGATCTTGCAGTTTGCTTTTGTCTGGAGTGTACTACATGATTGTAGTCTTTCCTCTTCTGCTCTGATGTGTACCATGTGATGTTATCAAGACCTAGGAGGAAACCATGTGATCTTGCTGTCTTTCCTCTTCTCTTATCTAGAGTATACCATGTGATCTTGCAGCCTTTCTTTTTTCTTCTCTGGGGTGTACCATGTGATCTTGTAGTTTTTTTTTTTTCTCTTACCTAGATTGTGCCACATGATCTTACAATCTTTCCTCTTGTACTCTGGAGTGTACCGTGTGATCTTGCCAAGACCTGAGAGTGTACCTTGTAATCTTACCAAGACCTGAGAGTTTATCTTGTGGTCTTGCTATGACCTGAGAGTTTACCTTGTAATCTTGCCAAGACCTGAGAGTGTACCATGTGATCTTGCCAAGACCTGAGAGTGTACCATGTGATCTTGCCAAGACCTGAGAGTGTACCATGTGATCTTGCCAAGACCTGAGAGTGTACCATGTGATCTTGCCAAGACCCGAGAGCGAACCATGTGATCTTGCAGTCTTTCCTCTGCAAGAACAACAGAAATAATTATATTTATATTTTTTTTCAATTGTAGCCCCAGCATTTGTGACACAGGCTGAACCGGCGAAAGAAGCGTCACACACACCAAAAGCGCCTGCCAAGTATGTCCCGCCTGCTCAAAGACATGGAGCTACGTCTGCTGCTAGCTCCACAAGTTTGCCATCCTCGCGGAAGAAAAAGGAAGCCCCAAATGTTCACAGTGAGGAGGACTTCCCCACATTAGGGGGGACGGGAGGAGGTGCAGGCTCAAGGTAAGAATAGATGTTGTCTTGATGTTGTTGTATTGATACAGATAGATGGCAGTGTCAGACATTCTGCATCCACAGTTCCACACTTCTCATGCTGTTACAGGCTTGTAAGCAAGAGGAAAGGTATGGAGTTCCTCAGCTCTAAACCTTGACCTGATATGAGACACAGCAAACAGTTTACTTGTGTGACAGTTTTCATGTGTCAAAATCATGGTTTACCAGGTATATACAGAGCAGAAATTCCACCATAAGCTGTCATTCGAATCACTTTAGGAGCACTTGTCATTGGAATCTCTTTAGGAACACTTGTCATTTGAAACACTTAAGGAGCACTTACCATTTGGAATCACTTTAAGGGAGAACTTTTAATGGTAATCACTTTAGGAGCACTCTTCATTGGAATCACTTTAGGACCACTTGTCATCATAATTACTTTAGGGGAGGATGTGTCATTGGAATCACTTAGGTGAGACGTGTAATTCAAATCACTTTGGAAGCACTTGTCATTGGAATCACTTTAAGACCAGTTGTCATTGGAATCACTGTAGGGGAGGATTTGTCATTGTAATAACTTAAGGAGCACTTGTCATTGGAATCACTTTAGGAGCACTTGTCCTAGGAATCACTTTAGGGACACTTGCCGCTTTAGGAGCACTTATCATTGGAATCACTGAAGATGTGACTTGTCATTGAAATCTCTGTAGGGAAGGACTTAAGAATCATTTATGGAGACCCCTGTGTGGTTTCCGGGGCCCCATTGTGGGGAAAACAAGAATAGACCCACTGCCTCCCCAAAAGCATGTCGTAAGAGTCGACTAATTGGGGAGCTTCCTTTGAAGTGGGAGTGCATCTGCCGGAGAGGCAAGGAACCAACAGTCTGTATTCAAGAGAATGAGATCTGTAAAACTGATGCACATGCAACACTCAGGTTCTGGAGCAGGACTGCAGTTCAGTAGTGGACGAGCAACCAGAACCTTCCGCCAGAGTTTACAGCTGGTGAAGGCGAAGAAGAAGATTTATGGAGAATTACACATTCATGAGCCTGTTAAGTGGTCTGATGTGTGTCTGAAGTCTGATTATCTTTTTCTAGACTTTGGTTGCCAGATTGTATTTGTTTTCAGGACCTGGTATCTTCTTTTGTTTTAATTCTTTTTTTCTGCATTTGCCCCATAATTAATTTTCTATGACATGCTTACTGGAAAGGAGTGAAATGGGTCGGCTCCCCCCTCCCCCAATGGGGACCTGTAACCCACATGGGGGAGAGACCCTATATATGTCTGCACACTTCATGCTGAGTATCTTCATCAGTTCATATTAAAATAAACTTGTTTTTCATGTGCAGGCTTCATTAGATAGCTTGTCAGCGTCTGTGATGTAGGGGTCTTGAACCCCCAATGGGCTTTGCAGTGCCAGGTTTGATCCCAGCTGCGTGCAGTTTGGAAGCAGTCTTGCATTGGTTTCGACACTGCTACTGAGAGCTGACTGTTCAGAAAAACCAGTGGCAAACTACTATACGTAAAATTAGCCTTGATAAACCGCAACAACAAAAAAGTACTGGAATAACTTTAGTTAGTTTTGTAGTTTTGAGACTGATGTACAGGATTGTCTACCCCTTTGTTCCACAGCCCTCAGTACAGCAGCAGTGCTTCCTCCGATGTGATGCCCACCCAGAGGCGAGGCATCAGCCTGACACTGGGAAACAAATTTTCTACTGGACTGACGTAGAAATTTTGCCTTGATCAAAGATATCCCTGCAACAGCCAATCAAAAGATACTACTTGTTTTCTGTATCAGTCTCATCATCAAAGATACTACTTGTTTTCTGTATAGTCTTCATCAGTTATCTTTGTCAGTTTTTTCTGATCAGATCATCATCAAAGATATCTACCTCTCTGTACTCAAAGTTTCTCATGATATCTACCTGTTTTTCTCTCTTTGCCTGTTTTTCTGTACAGCCCTCATCATACAGTACTGTTTTCTGTATTTTCAGTCAGTGCTTCTTCCAAAGATGTGATGCCCACCCAGAGATATCTACTCGAGGCATCAGTATCAGTCCATCATGACTACCTGTTTTTCTGTATCAGGTCTCAATCAAAGATTTTACTTGTTTTCGGTCATTATCAAAGATATCTACCTGTTTTCTGTATCACTGACGATCTCAAAGATATCTACCTGTTTTTCTGTATCAGTCTCATCATCAGTATTGTTTTCTGTTTTCTCATCATCAAAGATATCTACCTGTTTTCTGTTTCAGTCTCATCATCAAAGATATCTACCTGTTTTCTGTATCAGTTTTTCTGTATCAGTCTCATCATCAAAGATATCTACCTGTTTTCTGTATCAGTCTCATCATCAAAGATATCTACCTGTTTTCTGTTTCAGTCTCATCATCAAAGATATCTACTTGTTTTCTGTTTCAGTCTCATCATCAAAGATATCTACCTGTTTTCTGTATCAGTTTTTCTGTATCAGTCTCATCATCAAAGATATCTACCTGTTTTCTGTTTCAGTCTCATCATCAAAGATATCTACCTGTTGTCTGTGTCAATTTCATCATCAGAGATATCCACCTGTTGTGTTGTCTGTGTCCATCTGATCATCAAAGATATCCACCTGTTTTGTTTGTCTTGTGTCCTACTTGTTCTCTGTTTCAGTCTCATCATCAAAGATATCTACCTGTTTTCTGTTTCAGTCTCATCATCAAAGATATCTACCTGTTTTCTGTTTCAGTCTCATCATCAAAGATATATACCTGTTGTGTCATCTGTGTCCGTCTTATCATCAAAGATATCCACCTGTTGTGTTGGCTGTGTCTATCTCATCATCAAAGATATCCACCTGTTTTGTTGTCTTGTGTTCATCTCATCATCAAAAGTATCTACCTGTTATGTTGTCTGTGTCCCTCTTCATCATCAAAAGTATCTACCTGTTATGTTGTCTGTGTCCATCTCATCATCAGAGTTATCCATGTCGCCCCCTCCCTGTCCATCTCTTGATGAAAGATATTTTGTACCTGTTTTCCTATCCATTATCTCATCATCATCAGTAAAATGTGCAAGTTGTGTGATATGTTGGAAACAACATTTGTTGCAACAAACAACAGAGTAGATTACAGTCCCATGTTCACAACAGTTTACTAAGATCAAGAAATTGTGGGCTTTGTATATCTCAGAAGCTGATTTGTAACATGCATATTCATTTATAACACATTCAGATTTATTTAAAAAAACATTTAGGCTCATTTACAAAACATGCAGACACATATATAACCACATGCAGATTTATTTATAACACATGCAGACTCATTTATAACATACACAGACTCATTTATAACACACACATAATTATTTATAAAACATGCAGACTCATTTATAACACATGCAGACTCATTTATAACCCATGCAGACTAATTTATTACCCCCATTCTCATTTATAACACATGCAGAGTCATTTATAACGCATGCAGAGTCATTTTAAACCCATGTAGACTCATTTATAACACTTGCAGACTTATTTATAAAACATGAAGACTCATTTATAACCCATGCAGACTCATTTATAACCCATGCAGACTCATTTATAAAACATGCAGACTCATTTATAACACATGCAGACTTATTTATAAAACATGAAGACTCATTTATAACCCATGCAGACTCATTTATAACACATGCAGACTTATTTATAACACATGCAGACTTATGTATAAAACATGCAGACTTATGTATAAAACATGCAGACTTATGTATAAAACATGCAGACTTATGTATAAAACATGCAGACTTATGTATAAAACATGCAGACTCCTTTATAACACATGCAGACTTCTTTATAACACATGCAGACTTCTTTATAACACATGCAGACTTATGTATAAAACATGCAGACTTATGTATGAAACATGCAGACATGTATAACACATGCAGACATGTTGTATAACACATGCAGGATTTTTTAGTCACAGAATGTAGGTTTATCAGATCGCAAAATTCTTGTCAGTTTATTTAAATTCTGATGTGAAATATGTAGGATTTTGAGTCTGAATGTGGGTCTTATCAGATCAGCAAAATTTTTAAGAGTTTATTATTTAAGCAATGTGAAATTATAATTTTGATCTGTGGGCTTATCTGCAGCTATGACTACGTAAGGGCTTATCTGCAGCTTTGACTACGTAAATGGTTTATCTGCAGCTATGACTACGTAAATGCTTATCTGCAGCTATGGCTACATAAGGGCTTATTTATCAGCAGCAATGACTACGTAAATGATTATCTACAAATAATGACTACATATGGACTTATCCAGAAAATTTAGCTGCCAATCCTTCAATACAAACGTATGTGACATGGTTTTTTTAAGTGAAAGATATATTTATTAGAACATGTTATGTCATTTTGTGTTTGTCTCTGTCAGCATCTTGCCTGTCACCCATTCTTCAGTTGAGTCACTCTGAAAGCTTGTAGAATTTGCGCGATTATGTTCTCCCACCATCCTCTATTCTTGGCAGCTCTGTGCCCAAACATCTCTCTCTGAAACAGTATCTCTTTTCTCCAGCCTGTTACTGTGTCCAGTAACAAACTTTCATGTCTCATATTCTGATGAATCCAAGAACATCCTGTTTCGCTAAGTTGTTCAGTCATTGAATGTTTTATCCAACTATTTAAAGGGTTAGTTTCACATCTCACAAAAGCTTTCATGTGTTCATCTCTTTAGTTTAGAAGCTGTGTTTCAGAATCATGCAGTGCACATCTCAAAAGCTTCCAAGATATGTTTATCTCTTAAGTTTAGAGGTTGTATTTCAGTCATGCAGTGCAACCTCAAAAGCTTCCAAGATATGTTCATCTCTTTATTTTAGAGGATGTATTTCAGAATCATGCAGTGCACCTCTTAAAAGCTTCTATGTGTTCATCTCTTTAGTTTAGAGGTTGTGTTTCATAATCATGCATTGCACCTCTTAAAAGCTTCCATGTGTTCATCTTTTTAGTTTAGAGGCTGTGTTTCAGAGTCATGCAGTGCACATCTCAAAAGCTTCCATATGTTCATCTCTTTAGTTTAGAGGCTGTGTTTCAGAGTCATGCAGTGCACCTCTTAAAAGCTTCCATGTGTTCATCTCTTTAGTTTAGAGGCTGTGTTTCAGAGTCATGCAGTGCACCTCTTAAAAGCTTCCATGTGTTCATCTCTTTAGTTTAGAGGTTGTGTTTCAGAATCATGCAGTGCACATCTCAAAAGCTTCCATGTGTTCATCTCTTTAGTTTAGAGGTTGTGTTTCAGTCATGCAGTGCACATCTCAAAAGCTTCCATGTGTTCATCTCTTTAGTTTAGAGGATGTGTTTCAGAGTCATGCAATGCTACAAGCCAGATATTTATAGTTTATTGCCCATTGCCAGTTGAGCTTCCAGAGGTGTTAGTGCTGGAAATATCTGTATCTGCAGCACTGCTGCTTGCCTACTGCAGTTGTTGATTCTGTTTGTTCACATGGAGGATCTTTCTGAGATGATTGAGCCCAAACTGAAAAAAAAGTGAACACATTTTCCCGTGTTGTTCCATGGCTGAAAGGTTCTCTCTATCATGATCATCATCTGTAAGGTTTCTAGTGGTCTCCTGACAGCAGAGATGGAAACCATTGCCAGTGCATTTTAAGTAAGTTAGCGAATAAGTAAAAAGTAAAGGACCCTTGTCCACGCTTTTAGGCGTATAGGGCATATAGGGCTAGACCTACATCTTTATAGACCGATCTGCACAAGATGGGTGATGTGGTCAGCATCACGCCGGAGCGAACAAGTATTGACTAGTAAATAGTGTGTAGTTGTCAACTGTTGTGTCATTTATGACACTCAGACTATCTTGTCTTCTCTGTTCCCCATTAAAAAGTGGTTGTTGTGGTTTATAATTTGGCTGTGATATCGTGCCTTTTGGCCCATTAGCGTCCTAATTCGGCAAGAGCTTTATTTATTGTCACCTTTTACAACATTTTTGATTATCGGATCTAACCACTTCCACCCCCTCCCCCCACAGATAGTCTAGTTAGAGCCTGCAAAATAGCAAAGACAGGAAAAAATAACTGGCTGCCCCATCTCATGACCAGATTATGAAAATAGTTCATATTTGATTTCATGTGTGTCAGCTGTAAATATCTCATATTTGATTTCATATGTGAACAGCTGTACATATCTCATCTGCCAGATTTTCCCTGTCTAGTTTCATATGGCCATATACTTACCCAATTCAAAATTGCATGCAGGTTGACATTTAAAACAGATGTTCTGATTTAATTGTGCACATATATCTTGTTCTTTTTAGTTGAAAATCTGAAGTCATGAAGCTAGGTGCAGTCAGTCTAAAGTCACTGGGCAAGGTTTGGTCTATCTGAAGTAATTGGGCAAGGATTGGTCAGTCTGAAGTCATTGGGCAAGGATTGGTCAGTCTGAAGTCATTGGGCAAGGTTTGGTCAGTCTGAAGTCATTGGGCAAGGTTTGGTCAATCTAAAGTCATTGGGCAAGGTTTGGTCAGTCTGAAGTCATTGAGCAAGGATTGGTCAGTCTGAAGTAATTGGGCAAGGTTTGGTCAGTATGAAGTCTTTGGGCAAGGATTGGTCAGTTTGAAATCATTGGGCAAGGACTGGTCAGTCTGAAGTCACTGGGCAAGGTTTGGTCAAAATGAAGTCTTTGGGCAAGATTTGGTCAACCTAAAGTCATTGGGCAAGATTTGGTCAGTCTGAAGTCATT